GCCCACGGGTAACGGCTACGAGAGGTGGCAGGAGACCGACTGGGCCGAGGCTCGGCTCTCCCGGGCGGGGGGCGACCGGCGGCGACAAACCGGCAGACGGCCTCCCTCTCGCTTCCTCCCAGAGGCACCGGGGCGGTGGGCGGGCGGGGTACGCTGGCGCCTGATCCGCGAGGGGGTAGCGGCAGCGACGACTCAAACGACGGCTGCAGACGCTTCGCTAAGACTGAGCCTAGAAGAGCCGAATCATCGGAAGGAGAGGTGCTCTCACCTCAGCCAATCACCGCCTGCTCTGGGTACTCCCGCCCGCCTCTCCGCGCCTCTCCCCAGCAACCCGCGGACCAGAGCCAATCAGAAAATTCGCTTGCAGCCTGGCTCCCGCCTCAGGGATGCAACACGCCTAGTAACGCCACGTCAATTGGCCACAAGGTTAAACTTCCTCGACGGATTGGGATTCTCGACCAATCAACGAAAGGAATGAGACCAGATCGACTGGCGAAAGTAGAACCTTTAATCCCTGGGAGGCAATCTCCCACTTGGCTCCAGTTGATTGGCTCTTGAGCGTATCCTGCTGGTAGAACCTGGCACAATGGATTGAACCCTGTATTAGTCTAGTCCTGTTGCAGTGATACTCTACACACCCATCTTTTTCCAAAACCTGAGAATCCCCCCTAACCCCTCTCCTTGCTCCTTCAAAGCGCTGGCTCGAGCCACCTCTACTCTGGACTGTTAGTAGCACCCCAGTTCTTAATCTACTGTACCCTATTGTCATTGCACCCTCTGGTAATCCTAATCCCAGGGGTTTGACAGTTCCTCAGGACTTGGAGGTACACATTTCCATTAACGGCTAAAAGAGGGAGGATACTCAAGTCCAGAGAGAAGTCAAAAGGCAACCACAGAACACACAGCCCATTCAATAGAGCCCAAAACGGCAAGAAAATTACTTACCAAGGCTTAAAGTCCTTGGTCCCAAAATGCCAGCTAATCCTGACTATATTCAATAGGCAACTGTGGTGGCATGTTAACTTAATTCATCCTTCAACCTTTATCCACACAGACACATTTGACTCCAAATCTGGGATTAGGGAGGGGGTGAGGGGTCATTCTGAGAGACTCAGAGGTCTGCTTGTTCCTTCCCTCTAAGAACCAAATACCTGCACTTCTCCTAAGAGGCCTGCCCAGACCACCTTCCAGACCTAACTCCACTCATTCTGTCACCTCACACAGTCCTAGGCTTTGGGGCTCTGCTTTTAGGCAACAAAGACTAAAGGCATTGTTTCCTGTGTAAGGATTCCTGTAGCCCTTTCTCCTGAAGCTCATAAGGTAGGTGAGATTGGGAAAGGGCATCTTAGACAACAAACACTCAACCGAATCAGATAGCTGTGATACTTTCCAGTCAAGTATATGTACTAGGGAGACAAGAGATA